TCTTTATAAATACTTTAAAGTAAACCTCTGGCCAAGCAGATTCTATGAACTTTTTTTCCTACAAAAATATTTGCAAATCTGTTGAGCTGTGGATTGTATGGAGTAGTGCTAGGTTGTCATGCCTTGCTTAGTGTTGTTTTTTTGTAAACACAGCATGCCTACAGTATTCTGATGCATATTGACTGCTTTTAGGTATCTATGCAAGCCAATAAGAGTGCAATGTAAATGCATAGTAAGCACATTTGAGAGACAGGTTGAGATTTACTAAAACTTCCATGGTTTATTGCCAAGGCTTAACTGAACAAGCTGACGTTAAAATCTGACTAGTTACTATGCAACATTTTCATGATATCCACAAAGGTAATATGTCCTCCTTTACCTATTGTAATGTAGAAAGGGTAGACTGTAAGGTTCAGGGTGGAAATAGGTATCAGAGACTTTTGAAGCATGAGGTCTGGTTAGCTGCTGGTTGCAAAATATTTTTTTTTTAAACGTTTACTTTGCTGCTCCTTCCATTCACTTATTGCTCATGTGATGTACATCTACTATTTAAGGATTGTTATTCAGATGGTACAATCCGCTGATACATCCGTTGTGCTGGCTTCCTTTTCTGGATTGTGCCCCCATAGCACACAATTTGCTAAAGTGGCACAAAAAAGAGCCTTTAACCACTTGCCGCCCTGCCACTGTAGAAATACTGCGGCAGAGGAGCACGGGCAGGCAAAACCACGTTTTAAAACGTGTGTTTTGTAAAAAGGTAGGGGGCGCGCGTGAGGCGCGCGCCGCCGCCCTACCTATCCCGCCGATCACAGCCGCGGATGTCAGTCGCCGGGTCACAGCCAGTCCTTACCGGCTATCTCCCAGCGATCGGCGGCAATCAGTGACAGAGAGCACAGCTGCAGTAGCTGTGCTTTCTGTCACTTCCCTGACAGCTCGAGGACAAGCTGATCGGGACAGAAGAGTTTCACTCTCCCGATCAGCCGTGTCCCCTGCAGTACACCCCCCCTAGTAAAACACTCCTCTCACACAGATAACCCTTCCCTGCAAAATAAACTTAACCCCTTCCTCCCCAGTGCCATTAGTACAGTGTCAGTGGGTTTTTTTTTGCACTGATCACTGTATTGGTGTCACTGGGGATGTCAGTGACCCCAAGTCAGTACCCCCCCAGTATCAGAATGTCCACTGCAGTCCACCATAGGTCGCTGATCGCCGCCATAAATTGCTGATCGCCGCCTTTATTAGTAAAAAAAACCCTAAAAATCCCAGTATCTTTCCCGCCATTTGTAAACGCTATAACTTTCACGTAAACCAATTAATTTACACGTATTGTTTTTTTTTTTTTAGCAAAGACATGTCGCAGAATGCATTTTGGCAGAAATTTATGACTAAATTTGATTTTTACATTTTTTTTACTAGACATGTTTTATAGCAAAAAGTCCAAAATATTGTTTTTTTTCCTTAAAATTGTCAGCCTTTTTTTTTATAGTGCAAAAAATAAAAACCGCGCAGGCGATCAAATACCACCGAAAGAAAGCTCAATTTGTGGGAAAAAAAAGGATGTAAATTTCATTTATGTACCGTATGGGATGACCGCGCAATTGTCAGTTAAACTAGCGCAGTGCTGTATACCAAAAAAATGGCGTAAATTGCAGTATTTATACCATAGTTTGTAGACGCTATAACTTCCACACAAAGCAATCAATATACACTTATTGGGATTTTTTTTACCAAAAACATGTAGCAGAAACATTTTGTCTAAATTTTACTATATATTTTTTATAGCTGAAAGTAAAAAATATTGTTTTTCTTCAAAATTTTTGGTCTTTTGAAAAAAAGGACGTAAATTTTGTTTGGGTGCAGCATTGCATGACCGCGCAATTATTAGTTGAATTAGTGCAGCGCCGAGTAGCAAAAAGAGGCCTGGTCATTAAGGGGGGGTAAATCCTCTGGAGGTCAAGTGGTTAAGTTTTTGAAATATAATTTCCACAGCTGTGTTTGGAAACTCTCTAAATGAAACTTGATAAAAAGATAGTATCAACTGGTGCTTCTACCTGGGCTACCAGTCATTATTTTTGGCTAGCTCCCTAAGTTTGAAAAAATGGTTTAAAAGGTTAATACAAATATGAAGAACTATACCCAACTATACCCAAGCTTTTGTAGCTGCATTTTATTTCCTTACTTAGGCCATGCAGTTGTTCCATAAAGCTAAATATGAACTGAAAAGTCATTATTGCATCCTAGGTATACATTCAGATGTACAGTAATTCACATCTTACACTTTTCAAGCAGATTAGCCAGACAAGTAAACATGTACAAATGGGTCTGCCTCTAATTTAGTAATGTCTGTGCAACCTTTTTTGTGTGTGTTTGTGTCCTCTGTGCTGGCATTACTTGGCAGCAATCTGAAACCACTTTGCATAGATCTATAACAAAGTTACCACTAAAGATGACAGTTGATAACTCGCTGTGATAATTTTTAGCTTTCCAGAATTTACCCCTTTCTTCAGGGTCCAAGCAATACTGTTTGAACCAAGAATAAGGGGCGAAACCCCAAAAAGCCTGTCCTCCTGTCCTGAAAATGTAATTCCAGAAAAACATAATGCTCAGATTTCAATGCATATTCCAATAGCTCATATGCAAGGAAATCTTCAAATGATTCAAATGAAGAGGCAAACAGGCAGACCTGGGTACCTGAAATCATTTTAAGGTATATACATATAAATGGGTGCCAAACCAAAAGTTGAAGTCCAAAGCACCTTTAATTGTTTACAATAGTTAATGAATCATCAAATGCATTTTAGGGACAACAAAACTCCCCTTTCATTGGGAACAAGGGCTTGAATGAACTCAAAGGAAACTACAACCAATCGGATCTATATTTGATCTGGGGCAAAACCTCCTTTTGGATTAGAGTTATAACACTGTAATCAGCAGCAGTTTGCAACTAAAGAATACAGAGTTTTGTTGCTCCCAAAACATGCTAAATGTTTTGTGTGACTGTATTATGAACAACTATATGCACTTTAGACTCTTTCACTTTTTGGTTTGGCTCCTATTTGTATGTCTCTGCTCTGAAAATGTAACTGTTAAAGTAAATAAAGTATCATGGACAGTACTCGACCTTGTTGTTGCAAGTACTCTAATATAGCCACAGTCACCTTAAAGTGGTTGTAAATCTCTAACATGAAAAACAAGCAAAGCATGTCCCTCTATAGCATATATTGATCTTAAACCAAAGAACCTAGTGTGGTTCCTATTTGCTTTCTTCTCTCTCTGCTACCTGTTGGAGTAACTTCTGATACTGTGCTGACACCACATAATCCCAGAGGATGATCTCTCCCCACCCCCCCAGCACACAGAAGATGATCGAGACCCTCAGATGTGCATGTCTTCTAATGAAACTGCATAGGGAGGATTGTATCCATTCCCTCCACTCAGTTCTCAGACTACACTCAACTCCTCAGTCTGTGCTGTACAGTGTGTGATATCAGATCTCCGACCCCTGCCTTCTGGAGCTCAGACATGCTGTGTAAAATACGTGATTTAGGAGACTGTAAAAGAGATAGCGCTGCAGATAAATGGGTACAATTTATGTAGGAGGATTTGTTTAATCTCTGTGTATCACATGAGGCTAGTCACTATGCTCAATATATGTATAGGTCTATAACCACTTTTTGCACTGCAGACAAGATAGACGTTTACTTCTAACAGAAGCATAAATGCGAAATGGTCAGGGCAGGTTTATTTATACTTTATGTATGAATCAAGCATAACTCTTACAATTAATGTTTCTAAAAAATCAGTCACACATTTCTACATTTCCCCCCTGTTTTGTCCATTTATTACTTGTCTCCATTGGTTATAAACAATGAAATAAAATTGTTCTTTCTAGAAAATTCCCGTATTGTGAGCTAAAAATAAGTGCGTATTTATGAGATTATAATAATAATCTAATAAATCTTAGAATTTAGAAAACTAATGCCAAATATAGACATATTTCAGAAAGTGAACATCAGGGTGTTGCTTAATGAATGGCTTTGTGTGTCCAGCTAAGTGCTTAGATTTCTATAAAGCAGTTATTTTTGTTTCTATGTTTAAAATGAACCTTACTCTACACCCATCCTTAGATAAAGTAGTTGTAAAGGTAGAAGGTATTTTTACCTTAGTGCACTCTCTGCATTAAGGTAAAAAACCTTCTATGTCCAGTTCCCCCCACGTATGCTTACCTGAGCCCGGATCTTGATCCAGCACTGTGCCTGAGAGCAGCGGCTCTCAATGCTCTCTCTCTCTCCTCACTGAGCATGGAGGCCATTGGCTCCTGCTGCTGTCAGTCACAGACATTGTGCAGAGAGTGAGGGGTCAAGTGGTGATATGTATGTCAATGGACACACACACACACACAGCTAGGGCACAGCTAGCTGCTTGCTATGGGGGCACTCGACAGGTGCAAGGAGCTAGGTGGATCAGGGCTGTTCTGCGCAAAACCATTCCACAGAGCGGATAAGCGTGATGTGTTTGTTATTTAAAAAAAAAAATACGATCACTTTTACAAAATAAAACAGGTAGCAAGAATAACAATGAGTTTTTTTGCATCAGAATGTTGCCTTGTGGGCATAATTTAAAGGGTTAACTTGCACTGGAAACATGTAATTTATAAAAGAAATGTAAAAGTGTGTTATATCTTGGGTATATATGTAACTAGTATTAAGGTGGAAAAATTGCACAAATCCTAACTAAATGCAGACTTTATTACCAGGTTGTTGTGGACTGCATTAGGTGTATTGAATAGTTGGTGTCAGGCCCAACACATTATATTAGAAGTATTCTTTCTTATATATATTCCATGTTTCTTACTGGTTTTTCTGTCTAAAGGATGGTTCTCATTTATAGGTTTTTTAAAAAATAAAGCAATTCGAGTTCTACTGTCATGGAGAAGAAATTTAGTGTTTGCTCTTTACTAAATTCAAACCTTTGTTTTACACAAATGTGATTTACTGTTTAGGATCTAAACCTTATCTCAATGCTTGTGGACAATGCTACAATTGGTGAATGGAACCTTCAAGGACTTCCTAGTGATGACCTGTCTATCCAGAATGGAATTATTGTTACCAAAGCATCTCGTTTTTCCACTTCTTATTGACCCACAGGGTCAAGGGAAAATATGGATTAAAAATAAAGAGAAGAATAATGAACTACAGGTAAAAGAATCTGAAGGAAATGTTTGTTGTTTCTGCTTTCTTGCCTTTACATAAAACCTTTTTTTGTACTAAATTGTTTGGTATATTTTTTATTAGTCTCCTAAAATCATTTAGTGTGACTTTTTTGTGAAACTCCCTTTATTGTACTTTATCTCTAACTTTGAATCTATTCAATCATTTTTCGCATAACAAAACACATATCAGGAATAATATACAATTAAGAACTTCACAGAAAAGTTGCATGTAGTTGGAACGAGGTAATTCAATGGTCTCACAGCTGCTATCTGGCTAAACATGTGTGTTTAGATTTTTTTTAATCTATTATTTTTGTTCTATTTATCATTTTTATTATTTTTTAGTACAAGTCGAATACACACATGCCAGAGAACAGACTGCAGACTGCATGAACACTCAAGGAGGAAGTTCATGGCACAGATCACTTACATTTCCATGAATGGGGGCACTAAAGCAAGTCTGCTCTCATTTCTGTTCCCTACATACACCTGTTTTCCTACATTCTCCTTCAAATCTGTTATTTTTGCAGCTCATTTATTAGCTTTATTAGGCTATTTTCAAAAGACAAACTCCTTGTTACATTATTTTATAAAACCTCTTTCTTAAATAAGTCTTTAAAAATATAGGAATTATAATTTTGTCTTTTATTTGGTTCCGGTTAATAGGAACTGCATTTAGGACTCAAAGTCAACCCCTAACCCACCCATTTCCTCCATTGCTCTTTCCTGAGCAATTTAGCAGAGACTCTGAGTCTACTGCTTTTTCACAATGTCTGCTGTTTTATTAAATGCCATATGTGGTGAAGCAGTATTCAAATTTCTAGGACCAACCTTACACTCCCAAAGGTGTCATCTATATACTTGGCAATGCTGTGGCCCTAGTAATGGATCACATGTCATAGAGCACATGTCAGCCAGAGCAGATGCTTAAGAATGCTTCCGAGTATTGGCTACTGATTTAAGTACCTGTAAGAATGTCCCCTTTATTGTTTTTAATTCCTCTTTGAATGGGCATGGGTGGTTATGGGAAGTAGAGTTTTTTGATAACTGGCATTAGGAAATCCAGCGATTATGATTGCAGCTGTAGAGACCTGTGGGAATAGGGAGCAATTTAGTACATATGTCCTGGGGGACAGATAACTGTATCTTGGACCCTACTCCAGATTAACTTCCCTAAATCATGGATTAATTAAACTGTCCTGCACTGCTTCAGAAAAATAATCTTCTATTCAGGCATAGGTAAGCTAGCTGGTTGTCACTGAATGCCAGCAGATACAGAGGGCTCCAAGGTAGAGTGGTTAATCTTAAATTTAGGGGTCAGACAATATTACTCTTGCAAGTTCATACGATTCAACTCTGCTTTACTTAAAATTGTCAGCATTTCATCCTGTGAATTTCGACCCATCTTATGCTGACACTATCTATGGCTGCTTTGTAAAGCAAACACATGGCTTATTACATGATGTGAAATGCTTACATCATCATGTAATAACACTTTGTACAGACAGATTCCTCAAAGTAGCTGACCAAACTGTAATAGAAAGAGAGAGCTAGGGCCACCAATAGAAGACACTTTTCAAAGAAAAGCAGACTTTTTCAAAGTAAGGATTATAGGTAAAGTAAATACAATATCTTCTGAGCCCTAAACATACTTTAAACTTTGCTGGTCCAAAATACTTTTGTTTATATGGTGTGTGGCAGACATGAGAGGCAGAGTTTGACACATGGCATACTGTATGCATAATGTATATATGAGGAGCGTAGGGGCAGATGGGTAGTGTAGGGGTGGGTGTGGGTTAAGATTAGAACTGCACCATAGAAGTTCATGGAACACTAATAGGGAGTGAGGAATCATGAGGATCTATTTGAGAGGGTGGTTGGACACTATGGGGTTGAATATTAAAGGCAAATAGGCTATTCAGTTTGCAAACTATCACTTTGCAAGATAATTTTCCCTTAGCTTAAAGAATAAGCAAAGCTTTACCAACTTCCACCATCCAGTCATGTGCAATCAAAAAAAAAATTTTTTTTTTTTCTTATTTTCCTTGCAAACTGAATATTCCCTATCAAATTCAACAGCCTATTTGCCTTTAGTAAATCAGCCCCTATGTGATCACTCCTACACTAAAACATTTTATAGCATTAAAGGGGGAATGTAGCACAGTAGGTTTCCAGCCTGAGGCACAAAAAAGGGTTGGAAACTGACCTACTTGCCTGAACCAATGAGTCTCAAGAGCCAGCTTTAACACTGGACCTCCTAGGGCTTGAAACGTGAGCATACTGTAACTCCAGTGATCAAAATTTAGGACTACTTTTTAACCACTTGCCTACTGGGAACTTATACCCCCTTCCTGCCCAGGCCAATTTTCAGCTTTCAGTGCTGTCACACTTTGAATGACAATTGTGTGGTCATGCAACATGTATCTATGTAAAATGTATATAATTTTTTTCACACAAATAGAGATTTCTTTTGGTGGTATTTACTCACCGCTGGGTGTTTTATTTTTTGCTCTGTGACAGCGTGAGGAATGTGCAGCCGATAACTGGCAACTGCATTTACTGATGATCTGCTGTGTCATTGGACACAGCTGATCACGTGGTAAAAGGCTGCTGTGATTGGCCTTTTACCACATCACGTGATCAGCTGTGTCTGTAGGACACAGCGATCGCAGAGATCACCAGTGCACACCCCTGGGGGCACGTGGGAGGGCGCGTTCTGGGAGGACGTCATAGGACGCCCTCCCAGAACTGGACAACTGCACTGTAGCCATCATTTGGCTATAGCGCAGTTGACAAGTGGTTAAAATGCTCTTTTAGCTTGGATAACACACATCTTTTTAATTCTTCAACTGGTAATTTTAAAATGATAATAACCATTTCTTCATGTATGTCTGAGAAACTGCTTTTGCTACACTTAACAATGATGTGCCTGCAGCTTGGTAATTAACGCTGAATAGTGATGGCCCATATGTTGTTAATAAATCTGTTGGGATGCAATAAACATGAAATCCCAATTATAATAATTTTATTTATATTAGTCTTTGTTACAGAACATTAAAACTGAGACACATGCAGTAAAAAAAATAGGTATAGTTCTGAATAGTGGAATAAACTCACAACTGTTCTTATACATTTTATATTTCTTTTTATATTGCTTTTGCTAAAATTATTTTATAGGTATTGGAGATATGTCTTCTTACTTCAATGATTTTATGAACCTATTTGAAAATCGTTTTAGAGTGTTTGTGTTTTCATGGGGAGCACAGAATAGATGTATTTGGGCCAGTAGCGAATGTATTCGTGCTTATTTTGTTACGTAAAGAAAGCAGAAACAAAATTATTGGCATCTGTAAGTAATACCATGTACTCAGTCCTGTGTATCTAGATACTTTTTGTTATTATTCTTATTTCTGATCTCCCTTTACTTGGTTAGTACTTTTCTGCTGTATGTTTCACTATAGAGAGTTTGCACTAGATCCTGGATATAAAAAGCAGGGTCATTTAATACATATGTAAAGATCTTAGTTTATATCCAGAATCCATTAACCCATAGCATCCATTATGATTTCAGTTTAATGAAGTCAAATTGATAAAACAGTTCTGAACTGTTGAGGCAGTATGGGTTGCTGCACATCGCTAGTTGTCTAATTTAATAAGGTAATTTATGTGCATTTTAATAAATTCATTAAACATGTATACACGTTCTTTAATTGTTTTCTGTACAGAAAAATTATATATTAAATATTGAATATTTTTACCACAAAGTGCACTGTCTGCACTATTTTTTCATGTTTGGTTGGTAATAAACCTTGTGCCTTTTGTGGTCGTTTAGGTGACATCTCTGAATCACAAGTATTTTAGAACTCACCTGGAGGACAGTTTGTCTTTGGGAAGACCCCTTATGATTGAAGACGTTGGGGAGGAGCTCGATCCAGCACTTGACAATGTTCTTGAGAAAAACTTTATTAAATCTGGATCAACATTTAAAGTAAGATAACATTTTTTTATGTTATTTTTTAGAATGTGCTTCAGTGAGATGCAGAAGTGAGAGAATCTGTTAACCAGATTTCAGTAATATAATAGATCTGAAAACCAGTCAAAGTATAGATAAGCAAAAGACAGATATACCTAGTTAGGTTTACACATTAATCAAGGCAATGTATAGTACTTAAGACTTGTTGTGGTTGGTGGTCAAAGAATACATACAAGATATGTATGCGCTGTACAATACAACATATATTTAACAAAGGCACTGCAATAAATATTTAGTGTTGCTTGTCAATAAGAATAAGTCCAGACAATTTTTTTTTTCAGATAGAGTGAGTAAGAGTCAGAAGCTCCAAGAAGATTTTTTTCTTCTATCTGTGACCCAATGGGGGTACTTCCCTTCTCTACTTTTAATCTTTTCGCTGCCAGGCCCTGTGCTCCACTTTTGAACTCAGCTGGCAGGGCCATTTTTGCAATTTTTCCATTGCTTTTTTATTTTTCCCTTACAGCTTTCAGAGTTTGTAAAAGCCCCCCACACCATATACAGTTGTGTTCAAAATAATAGCAGTCAGACATCACTAACCTGATCAATCACTGTTTTTGGTAGAAATGATATTTCTACATGGCAAATAATTTACTAGCAGGTGTAGTAGAGTAATAGAAATCCAACAGACCCAAACAGTCATGACATGCATGCTGCTGATTCTGTGTAATTGAATCACTAATTGAAGGGGCATGTTCAAAATAATAGCAGTGTGGAGTTCTATTAGTGATGTCATTCATTCTTTGAAAAACAGGTGACACTTATTGCCCTTATTTAAGGAAGGAAGGCAGCAAATGTTGTACATGCTGGTTACAGTGCATTTCTCTCTGAAATTCTGAGGAAAATGGGTCGTTCCAGACATTGTTCAGAAGAACAGCGTACCTTGATTAAAAAGTTGATTGGAGAGGGGGAAAACATATAAAGAAGTGCAGAAAATGATAGTCTGCTCAGCTAAAATGATCGCAAATGCTTTAAAATGGCAACCAAAACCTGAAAGATGTGGAAGAAAGCAAAAAACTACCATTCGAATGGATAGAAGAATAGCCAAAATGGCGCGGACTCAGCCCACAATCAGCTCCAGGAAGATCAAAGAAGGTGTAAAGTTCCTGTGAGTATTGTTACAATTAGAAGACACCTATGTGAAGCCAAGCTATCTGCAAGAAGCCCCCGCAAAGTCCCACTGTTGAAAAAAAGACGTGTGCTGAAGAGGTTACAATTTGCTAAAGAGCACATTGACTGCCTAAAGAGAAATGGCGCAACGTTTTGTGGACTGATGAAAGTAAGATTGTTCTTTTTGGGTCTAGTGGCCGGAGACAGTTTGTCAGACGACCCCCAAACACTGAATTCAAGCCACAGTACACTGTGAAGACAGTGAAGCATGGTGGTGCAAGCATCATGATATGGGGATGTTTCTCATACTACGGTGTTGGGCCTATTTATGGCATACCAGGGATCATGGATCAGTTTGAATACATCAGAATACTTGAAGAGGTCATGCTGCCTTATGCTGAAGAGGAAATGCCCTTGAAATGGGTGCTCCAACAAGACACCGACCCCAAACACACCAGTAAACGTGCAACATCTTGGTTCCAGACCAACAAGATTGACGTTATGGAGTGGCCAGCCCAATGCCCGGATCTTAATCCAATAGAAAACTTGTGGGGTGACATCAAAAATGCAGTTTCTGAGGCAAAACCAAAAAATAGAGAAGAACTGTGGAATGTAGTCCAATCATCCTGGGCTGGAATACCTGTTCACAGGTGCCAGAAGTTGGGTGACTCCATGCAACACAGATGTACAGCAGTTCTCAGAAACAGTGCGACTACAACCAAATATTCATTAAGTGATTCAAAGGAAAGCAAAATCTTCAAACATTTTTCAGTTTATATAGTGAATGTTTGAGTTTGTAAAGAAGAATACAAAACACTGCTATTTTTTTGAACAGTCTAATATTCACTTTTCTTCAATTTTTTTAGAGGAACAACACAAATTTGATATATTTTTCTTCATGTTTTGATTTGGAATAGAATGTGTCGTGTTCCCAATGCATTTGTGTGTATGGAAATAAAAGCTATTAGAAGGATTTTGTGCTTTATTCACTTTTTTCAACACACTGCTATTATTTTGAACACAACTGTATTTTCTGAAAGCACATGACTAATAGAATAAAAAGAAGGCGCTATTAATTGTCAAGGCTCCACGATTTGTGCAAATGTTTATCAAAGCAATATTTTAGCTGAAAATACTCTAATTTCATTATTAGCAGATATAAACAAAGCAAATGTTTACAAAGTTCCTGCTAAATATAAAAGTTTAACCTGTATTAACTTAATAAATAACAAATATTTGTACATTTAAATTGAGCCATTTTGCGAAATGGTAAGAATCGAACATACGCAAAAATGTAAATATCCAAATTTCTCTAAAAATTTGGAAGTTTACATTTTTCACTTACAGCTTTCAGAGTTTGTGAAAGACCCCCCAAACCATATAATTTCTGAAAGCATAGGACCAGTAGAATAAACGAAGGTGCTTCTGATTTTTTAGGCCCTGTTATATTTGCACAAATTTTTATCAAAACAATATTTTTGCTAAAAATACACTAAAATCATTATCAAAAGTATGCAGGCAAGCGCTAGTGAAAATATTAAAGCAGCTAGCACTCAAGGTATAGGTAACAATCCCAACAAGCATATGTATACAGAAGTGCATCGCTAAAAACACACAATAAATATATTAAGTGGAACAGTCAAGTGCAGCAAACAAATGTACAAGTGTACATACACTAAAATCATTAATAGTGGATACATACATGGCACAATTTATAACATTCCTGCTATTAAATATAAAAGTTAAAACAAAACAATTTACTCTGAAAATGTGGATGTTTTCATTTTTCATGTCAACTTTCAGAATTTGTAAAAGACCCCCCCAAACCAAATATTTTCTGAAAGAACATGACCTATGGAACAAAAAAAAATGTGCTATTGATTTTTTTAGGTTCCACAATAGTTCATCAAATCGCTATTTTTCTCTAAAATACACTAAAATCATTATTAGTGGATACATACATGGCAAAATTTACAAAATTGCTGCTAAATTCCTACTAAATACAAAAGCTAAAACTGTATTGAGTTATTAAATAACAAATATTTGTCTAATTTGAATTGTGCCTTTTTGTGAAATGATGAAAACAGAATTAAAAACAATTTAGTCTCAAAATCTGGAGGTTGTTATTTTTTCACGTACAGCTTTCAGAATCCCTGTGCAGTCCCATTCATATCAATTGGGGTGCAATGGCTGCATAGGCATAGCCGCTGTTCCTAAGCTGAAATCCGTGTGGGTGTGGGTACACGACCCCGAACACAAACAGTGTGAGCTGACCCACATGGATGTCAGATCAGGAACAACTGCTGTGTTCATGCAGTTCCTAAATCCCTAATGACATCAATGGGACTGCTGGCACAGGGGTGCATGGAACACCTGTGCATCCCTGTGCAGGTAAACACGGCCTTGCAGGGCATACGCTGTGTATGCTCTGTGTAAACAAGGCCTTACTATGGGTTTTTTTTTTAAATATTTATTTATTTATTTACAATTTTATTTTTTAATCATTTTTACTTTTTTTTTTTTTTGGGGGGGGGGGAGCTTTAGTGAGATACTAGTGGTCTAAATAGGCCCCTGATGTCTCTTTTGTGAAACAGAGAAAGGGACAGAAAACAGCCCCTTTCTCTGCAGCCTAAGCTTCACATTACATGAATGAGGAGTCTATATAAAGCCTCCTTTTCATTCATAAACTGACCCATAGTAAGCAAATGCTCAGTTCTCAATGGATGCAGGAGCGATCAGTATTGATTGCTGACTGTATCCACTACAGAAAATGGAGGGAGCTGGTAAACACATGTTTACCAAACACCCCCTCCCCCTCCCGCTCTCCATCTGATAGCTTCCTCCAGTGCAGTAGCAACAGCTGCAGGAGGGGGAGGAGGGAACACCATCCAGCAGTCAGCAAGGATTGGTAAGTTGGGGGCCATTGAGGGGGGCAGCATGGCAGGGGGAGGTCAGAGTAGGGGGGCACTTCCAAGCCCCTGCAGCACCTGGAACAAGCTGGCGGGAGAGGCAGAGGAGGGAAGCCAGCAGCTGCAAGAGATCGGGTATGCGAGTGGGGGGGGGGAGGCAGGTCACGAATGGGGGGGATTGTTGCTGGAGGCTGTGAAATTGGAGTGGGGGGGCATTTAAAAAAGAATAGCATGAGCAGTATGTAGTGAGGCTGGAGACAGGAAAGGGAGGAAAGTGGTGGTATTCACGTACAGGGAGGGGTGTGTGTGTTTCATTTAAGCTGAAGTGACCATGAGCTTATAGCAGAGGAGGAATGAAGATTCGTACGGAGTACGGACCTGGCCTACTTGAAGACGTGCTGAAGGTCCGTACGCCATACGGACCTGGTAGTAAAAGGGTTAAACATGTAAATTACAGTACCTACAGATTTAAGATTAATGTTTATTACAATATTGTAGCTTTCATGTTTTTCTATTTTATACTCTCTTTAAACTAGAACTGTGTTAGTAGACATTTAAACACCAAATTGTATGGGCATGGATACTGATGACTGCTATATGATGTATGTGTCGTTATAGGTAAAGGTTGGTGATAAGGAAGTGGACGTTATGAAAGGATTTACTCTCTATATCACAACTAAGTTGGCAAACCCAGCATATACACCTGAAATTAGTGCAAAGACTGCAGTAATTGACTTTACCGTGACAATGAAAGGGTTGGAAGATCAGCTCCTTGGTCGTGTCATTCTCACAGAAAAACAGGTGGGGCTATCTTATGTGTATATATTATGAAGGATGTACTGTGCCTCAATAATATACTATGATGTCATCAGTTGACCCAGACACAGTCTTTGTTCCCCATTTTCTACCTCTGTAAGAATGTAACCGAGAGGTAATGCCATCCACTTAATGTGAACAACTGCCTTGTTGGATCTGTGATAGAAGTGTTTTACAGAAGGACGTTTTCCACTACTGATATGCCACATGGTTTGGTATAGAAAGCCACACAATAGTTTAGTACTAAGAAAAAAAAATAAATCAGCAGGACGCGGTGATCACAGGTCATGAGTTAGTCAAGACTGCTTACTTCTTCCAGGTCCAAGGATCAGTTACTGCTGCCAAGTTTCAATGGCTGCAGGTCCAGTCTGACAGTGGTATGCAATAGCCTATGTGATTCTCGGTAAATTTAGATTGCATGATTAGATTGTTGTGTGTTGCCATCTTAAGGCCAGATGGTCCAGATGTCATATAGACATGCATTTTTACCACAACTTGTGCTTTTTGGTTTACAATAATCACTTGCCCTCCAGAAAGTTTACCCCCCTTCCTGACCAGGCAATTTTTTTGCGATACTGCCCTGCATTACTTTAACTGACAATTGCGCAGTCATGCAAAGCTGCACCCAAATGAAATGTATGTCCTTTTTTTCCCACAAATACTGCTTTCTTTTGGTGGTATTTGATCACCTCTGCGGTTTTTACTTTTTGCGCTATAAACAAAAAAAGACTAAAAATTTTGAAAAAAAGCAATATTGTTTATTTTCTGCTATAATTCATATCCAATAACAAAAATGTAAAAGTCTTAATTTCTTTATAAAGAAGGCCAAAATGTATTCTGCTACATAATTTTGGTAAACAAAATCCCAATAATAACTGTATATTGATTAGTTTGCTCAAAAAGGTATAGCGTCTACAAACTATGCTATATAAACTGGATTTTTTAAAATATTTATTATTTTTTTATACCATTAATGGTGGTGATCAGCGACTTATAGCGGGGCTGTGATATTGTGGCGGACATTTTTACACTAATTGACACTTTGTGGGAACCAGTGACACTAATACAGTGATCAGTGCTAAAAATATACACTAATCACTGTACTAATTACACTAGTTGGGAAGGGGTTAAAATCTAGGGTGATCAAAGGGTTAAGTGTGTTTAGTCGTTGCCCACTCAGCATACCATGTGCTTTGGTCTAGCCATGATGTCTCTTTTATTTTTGTTTTTAGGCTGTACTGTGTATACTGTTTAAGGTGAGGTGATGGTTAGTGTGAAGGTTTCATTAAACTGACTGATACTGCAATTTTGCTAATAAAAGCATTACATGATCACGTGTTGGTGTACTGCCTTGTCCTTTATGTAACTGCTTTTTTGTGAACATTCTGTTCATATTTTTCTTTTTTTTTTAAGTGTGTGCTTGGTGTACACTAGGCAGTGCTTTTGCTTTGGGAAGTGATGGATCGTGTTCTCAGCTCTGCAGAGACACATGATTCATGACTCCCCCCCCCCCCCCACACAGCACAACTGTATCTATGCAAACATAGGTACAGCTCTGTTTTTCCTCCCTGACCCATGTTCTGCAGGTACTTGTAGATCAGTTTGTGTTGTGACATTTCACAGCAGAAGCAATCCTCCAGCAGTGCACACGCGCCCTTGTGTGGTAGTAGTGCATAATCATGTATGTATACGTGATTTTGCACAAGAATTCCGCCCTGTAGCAGTAAAACTGCTATAGGGCAGATGTTAAGTGGTTGCACATTAAAATATATTGAAATCTGTATGAAAATATATTCATTAAACATAAAACTTTTACAAAACATGCAAATATTGGCAGTTTTTAAAAAGTGCATGTGCAAAAGCAAGCCACTAAGGTGATCTTAGTTGAAGCTCTCTCTCTCTGTAAATGATTTTTACAATTTTTTGTGCTTGTTAATCTTTAAGCCTCATTTAACATTCAGTCTTATTACCCTGTTTTCCCAGATCCACATATTTTGCTAGGGTTTTAGAAATCTTACTCAGAATTACTGTACATATTTCTGTTCAGAGGAAATTGGAAACCTTTTTTTGTCCATTTTTTCACATAAAGAATTTAGTGTTAAAGTGTTACTAAACCCACAACAGTAAAATGCAGTAAAGCATGCTTGTTATACTCACTGTGGAACCTAAGGGGTTAATCCTCTGCATTGTGTAAAAATACCATTTGATCCTGACTTTTCTGCTCCTCCACATATTCAAATGTCCTGTCTTATCTCCTGATAAGAGAGACTGAACCATAGCCATTCCGCACATGCTTAGTTTAGTGTGTATTGCTAGAGAGGTTTTTCTTTTTCTCTTGGGAGAGTGCATGTGATCAGCACAGGGCCAATTAACACTATCCAGACAGAGGTCAGGGGTTTTGCATCCTCCTACAGCAGAAAGAAAACTCCTCCTGCAAGCTTTAACCAGTGCTCTGCTGAACAAAGATAGAAGTCACAAGACTGCTCTAACTACTGATGAGAAAAGGTATTTAGCAGTTTATAGTTACTAAAATAATTGCACTTCTATGTTCCTGGGTTTAGTAACACTTACAGCTACTAAGAAATCAGTTACCACTTACAGATCTTTATTGTACTAATTATCTGTACAAACCCAAGTTTTTTGCTTGGCTTTGCATTCTGTTTGGAACGATTTTAATGCTTTTATATGACAATTGAGAACTACATCTACCATGATTCATTAAAGTGGATGCTTTGAAAAAAACTAGACAGGCATTTATAACACAGAGTGGATATTGCTCTCTGATACACACTGCATAGTTAGTCAACGTTGTGGTATGCACTTTGCAGCCCATTCATAAAATGCAGTCCTGGGCATAAAACGTGCGGTATCCCACGGGACTGTCTGTGCTTAATCAGCAGAGGGAACTCCATGATTGTATGAGAGCCTAATATTGTTTATTATAATACAGGATTTATATAGCGGCCAACAATTTGTGTAGCACTTTGCAAAATAAAGGGAGACAGTACAATTCTAATACAATTCAAGACAATAGGGTCATGAGGGCCCTGCTTGTAGGAGCGTACAATTCAAAGGAAAGGAAAGGGCAAGTGATACAATAGGTTGAGTTGCTTGAGAAAGTAAAATTTAGGATAGGCTTCCCTGAAGAGATGAGTTTCCAGGGAATACCTAATAGCATATAGAGTAGGTGATAGCCAAACAGATTGCGTGGGGAAAATGGAGAGACTATGGAGGTTAGTCACATGATTTGGACAAGTTAACGTGACCAGGCTTGCCTCCTGTGTTCTTTTTGGTTCTGCTTTTGCATTCAGAAGGGTGAAGGAATCCCAGACCAGATGAAATCTAGGTACACTTGTTTAGCACATAGGTGTTCTTTATACTGTAAATGGGTTTTTTTTCTTTTTTTTTTTAATTTAAAAGATTCACCACTCATAACATGGTCCAAGTCCCACCTCCTCTCCCCCAACCACCCCCCCCACCCGTTGTTGGTAGCAACATCTTGTAGTTCTCAATGAGTTATGGGGGTGCTTGTGAGTATTTTTGTAGTTCATTAATTCTTCCTGCCATTTGGTATCCTGCATTGGACCCGCTATCTACTGATAGTGGGTGCAATGATTTACAGGCTGCAGTATAATAAATGCACCTTGTTTTACCTGAAAAAAAATGTGTATTTATTTTTAAAAGGTAAACTTATCCTTTAATGGTAAGGTGGTGTGGTGGTAAGTCTATACCACTGCTTTATAAATGCACCCCTCTTAGGTGTCCTAAACTGATCGGTTAGGATTTTCCATCCAAGTCATCCTTCTTCTTTGAATATGAGTGCTGTAATGGAAGATAATGATGCCACATTTTCAGTTTACCGGATACTAGGTTATCTTTGTAATAGAGTGCTGAATTTTTAATGGGGAAGAATGAACATAATTGTGTCAAATGTTATCTTTCATTCAAATTATTTTGTTTTATGTCATACTGTCTAGCTTGCTTATTAAAAGGGTGCAGAGTAGTTATTGTTGCATATCGGATCCAAGCTGCTGGTAAAATGTTATCAATGATACAAGATACTAAGGCTTTAAGATTTCATATTTTAATTAATATAAAACATCTAAAGTAAATGTCCAGCCAAAACTGTTTTTTTGGGTTTGTTTTAATAGAACAGGAAGTGAAGGCAATGTGCAACAGGGACAAAGACAGAAATTAAAGGTTGACTGGGGTTCTAGCCTTCTCCTACTTCCTTGTAAAATCATTTTAATTCTGTTTTGCCATTGTCATTGTGACAGTATTTGACAGAGTATCTCTCGTCAGAGGGTAGTAAAAACCTGAAAGGGGTTCTAATCCTTCAAATACTCCAGGGCATACTCTTTAAGGGAATGTTTTGCCATTTGGCCTACCTGACGGATTTAATGTCTATATTCTAACTCAAATTGAATTAGTAGAATTATAAGAAAAACATATATTTACATACATCAAAAGTCTTCTGTTAAATTAGTTATTTCTTTAAAAGACTAAGAATTAACTGAAATAAAAACAAGATTAGTTGCTCAGTTTTAAACGTTTTAATAATTGGAATCCCCTCTCACAGATCACAGTAAGATCTAACTTGACAGATTCCTATGTGCTCCTTAGAATTTGATGTCTATAAAAAGAATGCTAAAAACAAAATACCATCTGCAAGTGTTTCTGATAGATGTTTCCTCTTGACAGTACTCTGTAATTGAAGATCTGAGAAATCTGCCTCTCGAATACTTGATCGCTCTTTACATTTTAGCAAAACATTGCTTAGTGTTTTCTTTGAGTATTTATTCCCTTCACTCATTTCATGTAGCCTCTGCAGTGTAATAAAGGTCTGTCTCCGTAACGGAACAATTGGAAAGGATCAAAGTGTACCATGGTGCTCCATCTGCCCACTTATTTCTTCATAGTGATGTTCAATGCTTCTGGCAATATAATCCATATCCCCTTTGCTTTAATAATAAATATTGTCAATGCTACAGCTCTGTTCAGTAAATGCATACTTGTGTATTTTTTAGCTTTTGGAGTTCGAAAAGAAATTTATGTGTAGTTTAAAGTAACCAAATGAAGCTACAGTATGTATTACTTTTTGCAATTAGGCATTTGGGGAATGTAGTAATCTGTAATAGTTGTGTGAGATTTAGAGAGGAATTTGAAATTAATTCTCCAGCTCCTACTGTTGAAAAGAAATCACTCTCCCATTTAAAAAAAAAATATCACTTTTATTTTTTGGATGGGCCATACTCTGCTGGATGGCTGGTGGCTGTTATGAGTGCAGACCATACACAGCAATGAGTGAAGCTGTGACATATGTGCGCACTAGGTACAGGACCTGGCCAGGATGGTTTTCTTCCAAAGGCTGTACAGCACTGGGCAGGCCAGCACATTGAAGAACTCAAAGAGTGGGGAGGAAGTATTTTTTTTAAGGCTACGCTGAGATGGGGGTCAGGGGTATATTTAAGTGACTCACTCAAAGTGAGGTTGTCCTTTAAGACTGAAGCCAGCCATAGAAGGTTGCAATCTTGGCCGGTTCAGCAGGGATCAGCCACGGTTCAACCCATCTGGGCAGGCTGATTGTAACAAAGTCGATCCATCAATCAATTTGGGTACAACAAGCATGTCAGATTTTTCCATGCTATTATTGCCAGTGACTACAGCTACTATCATCCCGGCAAGGACGGCTCCCCATGCCCCCGTGGGAAGGATTAGCTCTGTGAGAAGGATTCCCCCCATCAGCACACTTAGAGCGATTTCACACTGAATGTGTTGATTGGGAAATCAAGCAAAATCGCATCATTTATATACTGCCTTACTAGCTTTTACAATCTGAGTTTACTTAGTGAATGTGACAGTTACTTTAATCAATGCTGCTAAGCACTAGTTGCATCTTATAGAGCACTTTCTGCTCCATTCTGCCAGATCAGTGCAGCCAGCGCACAGCCTAATGTGCCACTGCTCCCCTGTTCCTCAGTGACAGCTCATGCTTGATTATTTTACAGATGCTACACAGCTCAGAACGTCTGTGATCAGCATGGTGTCTGGAATACTAAAAGAAGGAGCACCCTTGTTGGCACATGACTTTACGTTGATAGCTGCAAAGGGAAAGTTGTGAAAAGTGCTAGGTGCCATGTTGATCACCACAGGTCAATACATAGGAAGAAGCTGTATAATAGCACGCATGAGCTGTAAATGCAGAATTAGGGCGCATCTACATATCAGTCAGACATCTGCTGACACTTTCAGGATGCTGTAGGGAAATTGTGTGCTAGGGGAATTCAGGCAGGTGCTCTGGTGTCAGTAAGCTTTCTCCTAGTGCCACTCCTGTGAACATCTCTTGAACAATGCATACCATATGCTGTACACTTGAAACTATAGAACTGTTGACACTAGATGGTGTTGGAGTCTCTATTCACTCAGTGCTTAGACTTTAATGCTTGTATTGGACACACATTCAAATTCTCCCAGTTAGAAACCATTAACGTTACAGAATCAATTGCTGGCAAAAAAATATACGGGTAACTCATTTCTTGGCTGTCATGTGGATCTAATATCTTCAACAATTTTTCCATAACTAACCCATGACAAGTATGCACATCAGGAGTTCTGAATTGCTGCACACATGTTCCAGGTCAAGAACCTTGAAATGTACTATCAGAAGATTAGCCGAATTTCTAGGCAAACAGTTTCAGAGGGAAGTCAGCAATGGCAGCCTCTGTAATTATCTCAGAAAGGGTTTCCATTCATAATATAAGATCTTTGGGAAAAGGGCACAAAAAATTAATAGATGAAGTTTTAAATTGTTAATATTTATGTTTAGAGATTCTCTGTTTTAGCCAGCCGTCTGAATATAATTGTTTAGAGATTACTGATCTCCACAGCCCATTGATGACAATATTTGTTGAGATTATGTCTTATAAGATATTGTAGTTTATGTGAATCCCGATTTTCTTTCAATGATTTTGGCAGGAGTTGGAAGCGGAGCGTGTCAAGTTAATGGAAGAAGTAACTTCAAACAAGAGGAAAATGAAGGAACTAGAAGATAATCTCTTGTTCCGTCTGACCAGCACCCAGGGTTCACTTGTAGAAGATGAATCTCTGATTGAAGTCCTTAGGATAACAAAAACCACAGCAGAGGAGGTATAGACTATGCTATTACATGCTATGCTGTATTACTTCTTATAAAAATGTATTTCGCAATGTGCTCTAAATACTAAAAAATGAACATGGTTTCACAAGGGTTAGAGGGCAATTCTGTGAGACAGATCATAAATACTCTAATTATTACTACAGTTATGTATTGCAGAATCCTGATGAATAAACATTTTGTTTAGGACAGGCTCTCTGTGCTGCCATATGAAAACCCTTTAACCTTTTTACTGTCTCTTAATTTACCCACTGAAAAATAATTAGGGAAGAGGTGTTCATGAATGTGTGTGTTTTTGGGGCCAAGGTCCAGTTCTAGTACTAAGAGTATGTACTTCACATGTGTTTATTAGTACTGCACCACAGTAAATGTGGCAGGATTAGTGTTTTTAATTAATTTACATTTTTATTAAATGTGGCAAGAACACAGTAAACAGTTGTTACAGTACTTATTGTTTATACTAATTATATTGTAACTTTAAATAGGACTTCTTTACTAGTAATTTGGGGATATAGGGAGAGTTACTTCTGTGCAGCTTAATAGCCATGCCATTTTGGAGCTAAGAATCCTTTGGCGTTAAACAGGGTGAACAACTATATGTTACATCATGATTAATTGCTATGAATAACATATGTGCTACATGTCTTGTTACATTGAAGGTCAGTGAAAAGCTGACAATTGCAGCAGAAACTGAAGTGAAGATTAATACAGCTCGTGAGGAATATCGTCCTGTAGCTACGCGTGGCAGCATCCTGTACTTCCTCATTGTGGAAATGAGTCTGGTGAATGTCATGTATCAGACTTCCCTCCGTCAATTCTTGGGCATCTTTGACTTGTCAATGGAGAGATCTGTGAAATCCCAGCTGACAGCTAAGAGAATTGCAAACATTATTGAGTATCTTACCTTCGAGGTGTTTAAGTATACAGCTCGTGGCCTGTACGAAAACCACAAATTTCTCTTCACATTGCTAATGGCCTTAAAGATAGACCTGCAAGCTAAGAAAATTTCCCATAATGAATTTCAGACTCTCATCAAAGGTACAAACCAAACCTTTTCATTATAAGTGATTTTTGTCTATGCTATAGTACAATTTTGATAAACATAATGTATGTATAAAAGCTTTAGGCAGATAAGTTGGTTGAGAAGCCCAAATTAAGTCCAATGAAGAATTTTAGAGAATAGGCTCTTGTATTGTTTTACCTGATGTAAAGAACTAGCAATCCTTGCTAATTTTTTTTAGATAAAACCCAGTATTGGATATATTAAAATTTCACACCAGCTTCCATTCCACAATCCCTGTGTTGGATAGATTGTACATGAGTAATATTTATTGATATTTTGTTCTGAGATTATGCAAATATATGGCCTCTGGGGTTGATGCCAAGAGGCTACATATTTGCATACTAAATTGTAAACAAATCTGTGCTGAGAACACACACCCTGCGCGCCCCGGAACTATTACCGGCGCTCACGATCGCTACATACGATTGGGTGCTTTGTGTTCATGTGACCGCTGTGACAGACAATAATGGCAGTCACATGACCATAAACCCCGCCCCACCTCCCGACATCAGAAACCCCTTAATGGGTCGGAAGGCACCTGCATTGAGGGGTTAAATATTGCAGAACAATATTCACTCCATATTCTTCTTTCCAAATAGGGGGTGCCACTTTAGATCTAAATTCTGTGGAGCCAAAGCCCAAAAAATGGATACTAGACATGACATGGCTCAACCTGGTCCAGCTGTCAAACTTGCCTCCCTTTAACAACCTCTTGGGGCAAGTGGCAAGAAATGAGAAGGCATGGAAAATCTGGTTCGATAAGGAAGCCCCTGAAGAATCATCATTACCTGATGGATATGATAGTTTGTTGGATGTTTTCAGAAAATTGCTACTTATTCGCAGCTGGTGCCCTGACCGAACCATTGCTCAGGTAACAACAGATCTTGAACATTTGCCATGATACAACACATGGGTTGCATTGTAAATTGCACCATATACTATAAACAATTTACATTATAAAGGAGTTTTGACATTAAAATGTGTCACAGATCTATATGCCTAATTTTAAAATGCACACATTAAAATGCCCATGGAATTCGTAAATGTAAAATGCATCATATATGATTTCTAAAAATAATACTGCACAATCATAATTACATTTTTATGTTTATTGTGTAGGCCCGTCATTATATAGCTGAATCTCTAGGTGTAAAATATGCTGAGGGTTTCATCCTTGACATGGAGGCCATGTGGGCTGAAAGTGATTGCAGAACTCCCCTGATCTGTTTCTTGTCAATGGGATCAGATCCTACAGAGAACATTGAGCGTCTAGCCAAGTCCAAGGTATGATGTATTATACAGTATGTGGCACATCCTGCATGTTGGGGTTTCTTGCATACCCACAGTCAAGCACACTTGTAATAGTACAATATTTAAAGCTGAAGTATGGCCAAAAGCTAATTTTGTACATTTGAACAGTTAAAAAAAAAAATACCATTACTAAAGTATGTCTCATCTCTGGCTACTGCAGCATTTTTTAAATGTTTTACTTTTATTGAGCTTGTAGTCTCCTGTAAGCACTGGACATCCAGTGCTAAGATTTGTAGTTTCATCTATAGTACAGGTATCACTGGAAGACACTCGCTTGTCCTTTCAGAAGAAAAAAACATTGCATTCTTTTCAAAGAGTGCAAGGTATTTTGTGAATGGAGAAGGTGCAGATGAACATCACAGTCTTTCTTCTCCAGTCACAGAATTGTTGCTTAACAAAGCAGAGGATTTAACAAATGCTGCAGAAGCCAGAGATGGGGGCACACTTATATCCTATTTTTACTGTTCAAATGTACAAAAAATAGTTTTTGACCATACTTTAGCGTTAAAAAGTATGTATATCGCAAACTGTGTTTAGAATAAAATAAGAATGGATATCATCCTTGTCTGTTTTTTTGCTGTCTGTGTGCTATTAGGAAGATTTTCCTTCACTTCCTGTCTGAGAAACAAAATGAAAATTAAAAGGAAATCTTTTCAAAATGTGAGGTTATCACTTTTTAGGCAATTTTCACTAACATACTTGTGAATTTGCTGAAAATGACCTAAAAATGTCAGAATTTATCCAGAATGGAGATTGGCTTCCACAGGGGTGCAGCAGTGCTTTCATTATCCCAATGTTTCCTTCCTTGTTTTTCCCATCCCTCTCCACCTAATTTCCTGTTATATCAGTAGGTTTCACCACTGGAAGATTTCCCACCACCATTTTTTTCTGTGACAGTTTAAACACTTTGAGACAACACTCACCAGGACCTATAGTGTGCGTGTGGGGGGAATCTTCCTAGCAGGGACCCAGACAACAATAATAGCCAGCCAAGGACTTTACTCCTTCCACATTTTATTTAAAATAATGTGTTCGCTTTACATACAGTTTGATGTTTTTTGTGTAGTTTTTCTGGAAATATTTTGTTATAAATATAACTATAATTGTTTTATAGTTGTAAAATGTGTGCTTTCATCTCAGAGGTTATATAGGACATTGGTAGCTATAATGCCACAAACTAAGGCCTTGAGTACAGAGAGAAGCATTAGTCCCTGCTCTTATATTTTAGTCCCACTATGGTCTGAGACGTTGCTGTTTGCGAAAGGGGGTGAAAGAAATTAAAATCTGTGGCCTAATGAAATCTGTTTAATAAATAATGTAGTGGATATCTAAAGCAAAGTGGGTGGTAGGTAATGTGCGGTAAACTCCTAAGGAGAGAATTATGTTATTGTTGACATCTTTCTTAAAAATATTAGTTTCCTGACTAATGCTTCAATTCCAACCCCCAGACCTATCTCCTGGATTGTAAGCTCCAAGGAGCAGGGCTCTCCTATCCCTCTTGTATTGAACTGTATTGTTGCTGTATTGTCTCCCGTTATATTGTAAAGCGCTGAGCAAAACTGTTGGCGCTATATAAATCCTGTATAATAATAATAATATAAATGAAGAAAGCAGTCCATGCTCTATAATGTAAAAAACTCCTGCGCTCAATGGAACACCTATTGATAAGCAGCACACACTCGCCTAAACCACAAGGAAAGAACATAAAAATACAAAAAATAGTGCAGCGCTAACAACCTATACTAAAATACAAATGAGATAAATGGAAATATCACATAGAGAATGCACAACAAATATTCAGTGCTGCATGCATTTCCTAGCATGAGAACCATGGAAACACACCCATGATATGGGAAAAAGCTGATCTTTGTCATTTTACATGTGAGTGGGCATTTTATTTATATTCATGTTATTAATAAAACTGGATTACACTATGGAGGATCTTCTTTGTTTTTAATGGTATCCTAAACGGTTTTGTGGAATTGAGTACCTAGGAGACAGGAGAAGATATTGGAGGGATCTATCCATACGTTCCATCCTTTGATGATACCTTATTGGGGTGTATAAGGTCACCTACATAGCTGTTTGGCCCAGTGGGTCGCATCAAGGAGGTGAGGGGCCATCTTGGCTATCTGTGGATTGACCGCACACTGAGTGGCACTGTGATCACCTCACGGAGTTTTGCTGTGATTTTTCACCATCATTGGCATTAATGGATTGCTGCACATAGTATTCGATTTATGAGCACCTAACACTGAATATTTGTTGTGCATTCTCTATGTGATATTTCCATTTATCTCATTTGTATTTTAGTATAGGTTGTTAGCGCTGCACTATTTTTTGTATTTTTAAGTCCATGCTCTATGATTGTTCTAGGGAATAAAAAAGTACTAAAATAAAGCATTGAAGCAATTGGCTCATTGACAGCAAGACCACCAACATGTTTCAAAGGTGGTCAGCAATGGCAGTCTATGTATTTTATTTCAGCATAGACTTCCTTGAAATTATAGAGGGAAGGTATTTGTGCACTGTATGTCAAGATGCATAGAAACAAAGGTGTCACATTGCAGTCCTAGAGCTCTTTTTTATTGAGTAGTGACAGCAGCACCAGAAGGTTTCCTATAGTATGGAAAGACCTTTAAAGCAGAATGCACACTGTGCACAGCAACACATGGTAGGAGATGTAAAAATATACAGAGAACTGCAGAGGGCATAGTTAAATTGCCCTTGAGCTCCTAAGACTGTGTGACAACCACTGGACCTGTATGACGAACATTCTGTACCCACATATTGAGATGAATCACTGCACCACATTCCAGAATTTTGAAGTGTTTTCAATATAAATTCTATGAGGAAGATTTACTAAAACTGGTGCACTAAGAACCTGGTGCAGCTGTGCATGGTAGCCTTCCAGCTTCTAACTTCTGCTTGTTCAATTAGGCTTTGGCAAAAGAAAACCTGGAAGATGATTGGTTTCTATGCACAGCTGCACCAGATTTTGCACTCTACAGTTTTAGTAAATAACCCTACTATGTGTTATTCCCAAACTACAAGCATCAACTCTTCTATCAAATAACGTGGAGCTTGCTTTCACATTGATGATGAGGGCTAGGAGACAACACAGTTTATTTTTAAAACAATATCTGAAATAAAGCCCATTTGTGTGTGTGTGTGTGTGTGTGTATGTGTGTAAGGGGTAACTTGAACATGGGCTGTTCATGTGTTCATTGAACACACGGATGGTACAGGCCTTCAGCGCCCTGACAGTGCTATGTGATTGGCCAAAGCATTGCACCTGACCACAGCTCAGGTGCAATGATTTGGACAATCACAGGGCATGATGATGTTACAAGAGGGCAGGAGCCAGCAACGAGGGTGGAGCATTTTTTTTTCCGGGTCGACGGTGGCAGCGGGCATCATAATTGACATTGGATCTACTTCGGGGGACTTTTTTTATTTTTACTTTTAACCCCCATGGTAGTATTCCCGAGTATAGCTTGGGGTTAACTTTCAGTACCAGCGTACACTGCAGCGTTGGTCCGGGATCCCTACAGGACTTACCTTGTCCTGTGCTCCAGCGATGTCCCCCCTGCAGCGTCCCCGGCCATCTCCGGCCGATGCCGGCATCCATATTGTGTTTCGTTCCCTATGAGCGTCAGGATGCACGGGGGCCAGAACCGATGGGAAATTCAAAAATGTAAAAATGTGACAATCACTCAATACACTTAAATCTGATAGTATTACATTCCTGTATCAAACCATTTCACATACATTTTGTCCCGAGTGCTTTGTCCTGCGCCCTGCCTGCATTTTTACCATTCTTTCTGCCTGGAAACTGAGAAACGTCCATGGCGTTCAAAAAGTGTCCCTTTAGGTCAAAAGCAGTTTTAGACCAGCTAGAGAACAGCGATAGTAAATCAGAACCACTTGAAGAATTGAGTGATAATGATTCGTGGGGAAATTCGTCATCAGACACTAAAAACGATTCTGTGACTGAGCTCAGCAATGTGCAAACTTGGATGGAAGGAGGGACCCTATGCTGTTTATTTTTTGTTTAATTTTTGGGCAATGCCGACAATTCTTTTGACATTCAGCTGTCAGCAGGGAACCCCACTGACAGCTGAAACATGATACTCATATAAATTCATGCAATATTTTAGTAACTAAGCTGCATCTTACCACATACTTAGATGCAGTAAGATACCACTCACTAAATTGTCCCTGTTCAAAGTCCACAGTCGAACTTTCCATAGGTTCAAATATTTGACCACGAACCGAAAAGGGGGGTGTTCAGCCCACCAATAATATATATATATATATATATATACATATATAGTATTTACTGTCCATATAAATTAAAAACGAAGTGCTGAAGTCTTTACTTTTCCAAAACTCTATTAGGCAAACAGTTTTACACACAAGAACATTAAATGAAATATACATTCAGAGATATATTACTGCATTTCCCCAGGTTACATAGGAGCTAGATTTAGCAAAGGGAAATTGTGATTCTTATCCCTGTGTAGTAAGAACTGCACAGCATAAGATTATGATTCATTTTGCAAGTGAAACATTAGTTTATCCAAGAGTTTGTTCCATACTGCCAAAGAGTAATGCAAGAATATACACAACTTCAAATATATGCATTTATTATGTATTTACTGTAAATATGGCTCAAGGTAAGCTAAATGTACATTGTTAATATCGAGTACATATGGGTACACGTGCATTATTTCATATGTTTATTTTTATTCTATTTGCTATCTGTATTTTACCTGTACATTTGATGAACTAGAGAGTTCTTTACACACACTGTGCATACATGTAGAAAGATGTAAAGGCATGCCACACAATATAGGTGCATTATAAGTCAGGTAGAGTCACAGCCTTATTATCACAGTAGATTGTTTTTCACCAGAAGAAGAATAAGAGACTATTCTCATGTCATGACAGGTGGCTTGCTACTACAACATAGTGAAGCTAAATGATAAAAAGCAGAATAATACCATCCTATCAGAGGTGCTATGTTACAGTGGACAGAATAAAGAGAATAGCACCATGTCACCAGATGTACCAGATATTCCTTGTTCTAAAAACAGAATAGCTTAATGTCACAGCAGACAAAACAGGACATACTGTACCAGGAACAATACAGAGAAACACATGTGACAATACCGGGTATATTTGTTAACAGAAGGGCTGGCAAGGATACTTGATTTTAAGCACATTGTGGACAAAAGCAGGAGGACATTTTGGGGTAGCTATGGTAGGCTGAGGAGCTGGGGGACCCAAAAAGAGACCAGGGGTATGGTACTGTTTTTTTTACTGTATTGCTGACAGTCTTCACCAACCTTTCTCCTCCAGAGGTTCTTTTTAGCTGTCAGTAAAGGGGGCATTTAGACTTCCATTGTAAGGGGTACATTCTTTTCACTGACCACCAATGTAAGGTGCATTCTTCGCATTGTTTCCTGAAAAAAATCAATTTTAGCAAGGGCTCCTTACATTTATTATTAAGGGTTCCTCTAAGGTAAAAGGTTGAGAAAGGCTGGTCTACACTTATGAAATGAATGTCTGACGTGCACATGGATCTCTTTAAGAGTGTGCACCTGTTATGGGCACGCCTAATAGCAGTGTTGGTGCACTGCCTTCATTTAAAATCATTATATGGCTTTTGAATGAACAGCTCAGACTGCTCCCCATGTTACTAATTCCCTTTAGTGTATTATAATGTACTCTTCAGCTGACATGATTTGGTCTGAAGCTTGGCCGTTAAAAATGACTTATTAGTAAGCTTAAAAAAGTTTCACTTTCTGACCACTTTTATTAAAAGAAATGCTTTTTTTTTCCCCAACCTTCCACAGAACGCGCCTTGTCGTGCAATCTCCATGGGCCAGGGGCAAGAAGTTCATGCCAGGCGCTTGCTAAGTCAGTCCATGCAAGATGGTGGATGGTTACTTCTTCAGAACTGTCACTTGGGTCTTGATTTTATGGATGAATTATTGGATACAATCACTGTTACAGAAACAGTTCACGATGGCTTTAGGACATGGATCACCACAGAAGTTCACCCAAAGTTTCCTATAAATCTGCTACAATCATCAATAAAATTTACTAATGAACCACCCCAAGGTATGATGCTCAACATACTTTTTTAAAAATCATTAGACATGCTTGGCATTTAAATACGCAGTTCTCATCGTGTTGTGCAGTTGCTAATCTATTTGAATTTCTTAACCATTTGACGCCCGGCCAATAGCCGTATGGCGTCCGGAAAAATTCACTAGCCGCCATATGGCGTACTCCCGCACATGCGCAGTTCGTGCGCTTGCAGAGCCGTGCAGTGGCGCGATCTGTCACCGGCCGTGTACCTCGGACATGGCCGATGACAGATCTGAGTACTGGCCCCCGTTGCCAGTACCATGTGACCTGCTGTGACCAATCACAGCAGGTCACATGACAGTTGTATACAATGAATGACTTCATTCATGCCATCCATTGTATACTAGTGTCTAGCTGTGAATGGTCACAGCTAATCACATGCACATGTCATGTGATTAGCTGTGGCCAAATCACAGCTAAGCACAAAAAAAATAAAAAAAAAAACCCTGAATGAATCGATGTCATTCAGGTAAATGCTTGCTTATAGCAAAGTAATTCTTTGCTATAAGCAAATTGTGTAAAAAAAAAAAAAAACAATACTGATCACTACCCCAAAGTAGTACAATGTTACTATGGTAACATTGTACTACTTTGGACATAGGGAAATATGAAAAAAAATCTTTAAAAAAAAATGTAATAAAAAATTTAAAATAAAAAAATTAAAAAAAATATATATATATTTTTTTTTCACACTGTCACCAGTCAGTGTCCCTGATCACCGCCATGCCAGTTATATGATGATGCTGTACTGCACTGGTGACAGTATGTAAAAAACAATTAGTGAAAATAATTTTTTTTATCTTTTCATTTTCCGAAAAATTATGACAAAAAAAATACAAGTTCAAAAAACTCACCATGCCTCTTATGAAGTGTGGCCTCTGCGAATGTCCCTCATGAATAGGGATCAATAAAGGAGACCACATAGCGTGATACCGTAGGGAACTTTATTCCATTGAATGAAATGACAAAGTGAAATAAAAACACTGACCGTATAATAGGATTCAAGATGGCCACCTGCGGTGGCTAGACGTCCAGTTGCTGTAGCCCCTCTGACGCGTTTCGTGCGATGCACGTAGTCATAGGGTCCAGAGGCCGCACTAAGGGTGAGCCCCTATGGTGATACGCATCAAGGACCCCCGAGTACTGCATGCAGATGTGACTGGGAAGTATCCTGACCGTACCTGATCTGGAAGGCGGATGACCTAAACTATACCTATTGAGTTAGGTTATATCTCAAATGCGTGTTTATACGCACTTCTGGTGAGTGCGCATTTCATTTACATTGAACACCTGCCACCGGGATTAACCCTCCACGCACGCTTATTGGGATCATACAGGATCCTCATGTGGGCAATACATCTGGGACTTTTTTGCACTTTACTCACCTATTGGTGACATAATTTATGCACATTTAATTTATTTGTTTATTTGTTTATTTTCTTGCTTGATTTGGTATTGCTGATTATCTATACCTATGTACTGAATATATGCTATTGGTTTTCTCATGCTGTGCATTTTATAAAAACAACTGCATCTTCTCATTTCCTTTAAATAAGGATGAGATTTATGCTGCATATTTAGTGTTTAGCGCTGCACCTTTATATTTGAGACTGTGCATTACAGTCCCATTCTTTGATTAGAGGCACTGCACAGAATAACATACATTACTGCATTTTTGTGGTAAATTTGAAAGAGGCCGCAATATTGAAAACAGTATACCTGAGGGAGAAAACCTGTATCAGCTTTACAGATGACCTGTCAGTTTTTTTTTCGCTATCTGTTTCCCATTGGTGAAATTCCCTTCACTTTCTGTCCCATAGTCAAAACAGGAAGTTTGAAAAAAATGTCTCCAAAGTGAGGGAACCCCCAGTTGTCACCAGAACTAGTGTTTCCCAGTGGAAGATTTCCCTGTTTTGATGACAACCCAAAATTTGGGAATTTCTTTCACTCTCGGTGATAACAGTAAACAGGACACATGGAGACGGTGAATCGCCCTATTGGTGGAACAGACAGCAATAAGAACCTGACAGGTGTTCTACTCCCTCTCCACTCCATCCAAAACTGAAAAAAGTTTTGCCCTTAACTATACTTTACCCAGCTTCTTTTTATTTGTCTAGAGTTCCGTTTTAAGGTCACATAACTGCTTTTTGAATCTGACAATGCCATCAGCAAAACATTTCTGCAGAAATCAAAACCCTGGGCTATGGGAGGTTTTCCCAACATATACAGTTCAGCACAAGCTAGCGGTGTTACAATAGACATTAGAGCACAATTATTTCTGACTAACAAAAGACCATTTTAGGTACATAATAACCATTGCATTATTAAGCCTGACGTCCACATTGTGCTGTGTCCACTTAGCGACATTATATACCACAAAGGCAGGCCAACAATTTTCATGTATAGAAAGAAGTTTGTCTGTCTGGAAAGCTGATTCAGATTATTATTTCCTGTTATTAAATTTGTATTTGTAATACATAGACTCTCAGATTGCCATAATGGGGATTTGTGTAGGCTGATTGAGCATTGCCCTTTCAGAACACTTTTTTTTGTCTTCCTGTCACATAATACACACTGTATAAACATAATGTGCATAAAATGAATGATTGGTTTACAGTTTTTAGCATACAATATATTGCCAAAAGTATTGAGACACCTGCCTTTACACGCATATGAACTTTAATGGCATCCCAGTCTTAGTCAATAGGGTTCAATATTGAGTTGGCCCACCCTTTGCAGCTATAACAGCTTCAACTCTTCTGGGAAGGCTGTCCACAAGGTTTAGGAATGTGTTTATGAGAATGTTTGACCATCCTTCCAGAAGCACATTTGTGAGGTCAGGCCTGGCTTGCTGTCTTTGCTCTAATTCATCCCAAAGGTGTTCTGTCGGGTTGAGGTCAGGGCTCTGTGCAGGCCAGTCAAGTTCCTCCACTCCAGACTCGCTCATTTATGTCTTTATGGACCTTGTTTTGTACACTGGTGTGCAGTCATGTTGGAGCAGGAAGGGACCTTCCCCAAACTGTTCCCACAAAGTTGGGAGCATGAAATTCTTCAAAATGTCTTGGTATGCTGATGCCTTAAGAGTTCCTTTCACTGGAAATAAGGGGCCAAGCCCAACCCCTGAAAAACATCCCCAAACCATAATCCCCCTCTACAAAACTTTACACTTGGCACAATGCAGTCAGGCAAATACTGTTCTCCTGACAACCGCCAAGCCCAGACACGTCCATTGGATTGGTAGACAGAGAAACGGGATTCATCAATCCTGAGAACACTTCTCCACTGCTCTAGAGTCCAGTGGCAGCGTGCTTTACACCACTTAATCAGACACTTTGCATTGCACTTGCTGATATAAGGCTTGGATGCAGCTGCTCGGCCATGGAAACCCATTCTTTGAAGCTCTCTACACACTGTTGTGCTAATCTGAAAGCCAAACGAAGTTTGGAGGTCTTTAGCTATTGACTCTGCAAACAGTTGGTGACTTCTGCGCACTGTGCGCTTCAGCATGCTCTGACCCCGCTCTGCCATTTTACGTGGCCTACCACTTCGTGGCTGAGTTGCTCTTGTTCCCAGTTGCTTCCGCTTTGTTATAATATCACTAACAGTTGATTGTGGAATATTTAGTAACAAGGAAATTTCACAGATGGACTTATTGCACAGGTGGCAACCTATCACGGTGCCACGCTTGAATTCACTGAGCTCCTGAGAGCGACCCTGTCATGTACCTGGTTAGAGACTGAAATGACGAGGTCGGTCTCACTTGTGTCACTAGCCCTGACCCCACTGGAAGTGGAACAGAGAGTGTCTAGGGACCAGGGGAACAAGAGTGCCAGCAGATGTTGTTTGCAGCTCTTGCAATTGGAGACTTTGGAAGACTGATGAACCTCCGATTCAGGATCAGTAGTGATATGCAGAGCTGGTATGGTAGATTGCCAGGTATGCACCAGAGTAAGACAGGAGGCTGGGATGGGAGACAGGAGTAATGTCATAGGAATAGCCAGGGTCATCAACAGGCGGACAGCGAGGTACCAAATCATAAGCAAGCCAAAGTCAGCAGCAGAGCCAAAGTCAGGAACAAGTATCAAGCAGGAGAGTAATCAGAGTCAGATCAGGAACAAGCCGGGTCAGCAACAAGGAAATGACACAGGAACGAGCAGGAAACGGGGAACAGCTGAAGACCAGTCAGCACTCAGCACAGGCAGAGGCACCTTTTAAATAGTCCGTCTGGCACCAATCTTCGCTGTGCATGTGCACGATCACTTCTATTTGCTAGCTGTCTCACGGGAAGTCCTTTACAGACCCATTCTTTCACAAAAATTTGTAGAAGTAGTCTGCATGCCTAGGTGCTTGATTTGATATACCTGTGGCCATGGAGGTGACTGGAACACCTGAATCCAATGATGTGGAGGGGTGTCCCAATACTTTTGGCAATATAGTGTATATTTTCATATAGTAGTACCTTTAGAAAGTTTGACTAACAGCTTGAAGGTCTATGGTAAATTTTATAACTCAAAAGAAGCACTTTATTCTTAGAAGCAATTTATTTTGCTGGGCAGGATTTCCCAATTAATTGATGACTTCAGCACTTTTGTGACCTCATAATTTGAAAATAAGTCAGGTCATATCAGGTTTACTTTAAGACCAAGTGGAAAATCTTTCTTGATGCTTCACATGCCATTGGCATAATACGTGATAGTACTGAGGATACAATAGCTTGTGTAGATGTTTATTAGGTTATTGATTTTTTTTAAAGAATCTTGAATTCCCCTGGGCTTCGTGCCCCCCCATCCCCCATGGAAGCCCTGTGGTGTGTATACTATGTAATTTTTGAATATACTTTTTCCTGTTGTGTTCTGATTGGGACACACTGTGCTAAGTCCTCTTTATGGAAACACCGCTCTATATGCATCTGTAGGCAATGAATGCAAGGTGACTTGGTGTTATTTTTTTTGCCCAAGCTGAGCATTAAACTAGACCTGTTCAGGCCTAAAGACCATTGTCAAATGTACGTTTTCACATTCATTAGTGATCTATGAACCGAGCTTTACGCTTGATTCTGTGATTTTTCCAAACATGTAAACCCAGTAACTAAGTGCATGGAGAAACATAATGGCTTCAGTACACATTAAACAGTAGATGATGGACATTTTTTGATGTTTTAAGAAAATACAATAGCACACTTTCCTGACTTATGCTTTGTTGAATACATTATTTTTTGTTGCATTTGCATAGTTTTCTAATGTAACAGTACTGTATCTTCTCTGTTTTAAACAGGAGCAAACATCTATAGGGCCATCTATTATTTAAAAGGCTTTCTTTAAAAATGGATTGCAGATTTTATGAATAATTTCCTTGCTCTCAAAAACATAGCAGAAGATATAGGAAAATAAAAGATTTATCTGCGCTTTGTCTGTAGGTGTGAAAGCAGGATTAAAGAGGACATATTCTGGAGTGTCTCAGGAATTATTGGATGTAACCAATGTGCCACAGTGGAAGCCTCTGCTGTATGCTGTTGCATTTCTTCACACAACAGTGCAAGTAAGACCTCATTTTATTCTTTTTGTAATGTTATTTCCCTGTTTCATTGTCTTTCCTCAGTGCAGACACATTCAGATTTCTTGTACCTATCTTTGACACGTACATGAATTGGGTGTATGCACTGACACTTTTGGAGCTGTTCCCCAAGGAAATTTTAAAAGGCGTCTACCTAGTTAGTTTGCTTTGTATACATGAGGCTTACAAAGTCTGCATTGGGTAATTTTTCTGTTAACTTAGTTAATATTGCAGCAAAAATGCTTAAATTATCATCCTGCCAATATGTGTTTATCTGTGTATGGGAAACTTTGTCTTCTGCTCACTGTGCTCTAGGACACTTGGTAAAGCTTATGGCTGTGTGTTTCTCTCAGTTCATTTTGGACCATGTGTGTTTAATTAAAAATAAATAAATGAAAAGGACAAATTAAATTTTAATCCTGTAAATTTTTAAAGAGGAACTATGGAAACAACTAAATACACAGCTGAAATTGAACATATACAGCCTAAGCTGGCTCTATTGAGGCACAGGGATGGATTCAAAGAGTAGCTCAGTCACTTGGTGCCTGTCACTGTTGTGACCTTAGAAATAGGGTAGGTTAGCTTCACTTTAGGCTGAAGTGGAAGATCTCTTTTGTTGCCTTACATGCCCAAGGACATAAGCAATGATTCTAAGGATAGAATAGCTTGTGTAGTAGTAAAGTAGGTTATATTGATTTTTTTTTAAACAAAACTGTACTTTTTGAAATAGACCTGTGCAGCCTGAAGAGTATTGTCTGGTGTAGATGTTGGAAGAATCATTGTGATCTATAAACCTAGCTTTTACATTTGAGATGTCACACTGCAGTGCTAGGCACTCATATTTTCTGGTTCAGCAGTTCTGCATCCTATGTCATCTCTCATCCTTCAGGCTACCCATTGGACAATTAAGGGATCTTCCTGTCCTTATTTAGAATTGTAAACAATTAGGTAATGTGAAGGGCTAGGTGACCTAAATGGTATGACCCTTTTTTTTAGGATTAGAACACCTGTGTGGTTTTTACTGCTATCCTAGACTTCCCCTTACTAAAGCTGGCTATACACATAAAATAACAGATTCCTGTGGATGGACAAAACATCTGCTGTGGCTTTTGTATTTTGATATCCAGCAGCCCTATCAACCTACAAAGTTTGCATGTAACTGGCTGCAGTCACTGTTCAGTCAACAGTTTTCTGCTTGGCTCCTTAGATTTTTCTTACAATGCTGTGGGGGGTAATACCACAGCTCCACCTATGATAAGCACTCATCAAAAGCATCAACTGTGTTGCATTTTCCTGTGGATTTTTCATTTGTCTGCCTATCCTCTATTCATAGAGTGGTTTTCATTTATAGAAGCCTTAGTACAGCTTCTATGAATGGAGGATGGGGCAGAAAGGACAGGCATACGTAGTCTGATGAATGCCTGTCACAGGTCTAGCACTGGTAATAATCTCCACAGCACTGGAAGATGACAGATGTGGGTGTACTGGAGTGGGACAGAGGACTTTGGATTTTCACTATGGCAGGTGGCACCAGTAGAAGGCACACTTCGGATTAAATGTAATTGATGTCCCTTGTTTGTATTTTAAAATTTCCCTGAATTTAGGCTTTACAGTGGTTACATAGTTAGTCTGGCTAAAAAAAGACAAAAGTCCATCCAGTTCAACCATTAAAAAAAAAAAAAGTTATAATCCTATACCCACAGTTGACCCAGAGGAAGGCAAAAAACCCCCCAGAAAAGCATGATCCAATCTGTTCCGGCAGGGAAAAAAAAAATCCTACCTGATTCCCCGAGAGGCAATCGGATATTCCCTGGATCAACTTTACCTATAAATGTTAGTATCCAGTTATATTCTGTGTATCCAAGAAAGAATCCAGACCTTTTTTAAAGTAATACACTGAGCTGACCAGAACCAACTCTTGAGGGAGTCTATTCCACATTTTCACAGCTGTCGCTGTGAAGAAACCTTTCCGTGTTTGGAGATTAAATTTATTTTCCTCCAGATGTAAAGAGTGCCCCCTTGTCCTCTGTGATGACCTGTGAACAGCTCTACACCGAGTTCACTATATGACCCACTGATGTATTTATACATGTTGATCATATCCCCCCTTAATCTCCTCTTCTCAAGAGAGAATAAATTCAGTTCCTCTAATCTTACCTCATAGCTGAGCTCCTCCATGCCTCTTATCAGTTTGGTTGTCCTTCTCTGTACTTTCTCCAGTTCCCCAATGTTCTTTTTGTGAATTGGTGCCCAAAACTGAACTGCTTATTGCAGATGAGGTATTACTAATGATTTGTACCGGGGGAAATGATATCTCTCTCTCTGGAGTCTATACCTCTTAATACAAGAGAGGATTTTGCTCGCTTTAGAAACTGCAGCTTGGCATTGCATGCCATTATTAAGCTTGTGATCTACCAAAACCCCCAGATCCTTCTCCCCCATTGATTCCCCCCCATTGTACTCCCCCCTAGTATGTATGATGCATGTAGATTCTTAGCCCCCAAGTATATAACCTTACATTTATCAACATTAAACTCCATTTGTCACATAGTTGCCCAATTAAACAGTGCATTGAGGTAGGCTTGTAAGTTGAAGACATCCTGTAAGGACATTATTCCACGGCACAGTTTGGTGTCATCTGCAAAGACTGAAATGGTATTTTTAATCCCAGACCCTATATTGTTTATAAATATATTAAAAAGTAAGGGTCCCAACACTGAACCTTGGGGTACACCACTGATGACCCTAGACCATTCAGAGTATGAATCATTAACCACTACTCTCTGAATACAATCTTTTAGTCAGTATTCTAACCATTTACATACAGATTTTTCCAAGCCTGTAGACTTTACCTTACACATTAACCATGTGTGGGGAACTGTGTCAAATGCTTTTGCAAAATCCAGGTATACCACGTCCACCGCCACCCCTCTGTCCAAGGTTTTGCTTACCTCCTCATAAAAAGAAATCAGATTTGTTTGACAACTTCTGTCTTTCATGAATCCATGCTGTCTGTTGCCTAAAATATTTTTTTTTCCAGCAAGAACTCATCTATGTGGTCTTTTATTAAACTCTCCAGTATCTTCCCAACTATAGAAGTTAAACTAACAGGTTTATAATTACTTGGTAAAGATTTTGACTCCTTTTTAAATATTGGCACCACATTGGCCTTACGCCAATCCAATGGTACTATGCCAGTCATTAAAGAGTCCCTAGAAATTAGAAACAATGGCTTTGAAATGACAGAGCTCAATTCTTTAAGGACCCGTGAGTGTATGCCATCCAGTCCAGGTGTTTTATTGACCTTTATACTGTCTACATATTTTTGGATCATATCAATTGTGAGCCAATGTGAATGTGTTATAAAATCAAAAGGTGTTTTACCTTAATGCATTACCTGCATTAAACCTTCCCATTTCTGTTTCTTTCCCTCCTCCATAAATACTTACCTGACTCTTCTCTCGATCCAGCGGTGGTCTTTCCTGCTGTCACAAGACAGACTAAGAGCAGCGGGAGCCATTCACTCCTGCTGCTATCAGTCAAATCCAGTGAGATGGAGCTGCGCTGTGTGTGTCTATGGATGGAGGGGTGCGTGTGTGCAACTGTAGCATGTGGCTTGCTATGGGGGGGGGGGGGGCACACAGGAGAGGAGGAGGAGCGAACAGTGCTGGTCGGGGACCCCAGAAGAGGAAGTAAGGAGCATCTCTGTGCTACATCCTTGCTCAGAGAAGGTAAATATAAAGTTATTTTTATTTTAGGGAAAAAAGTGAGCCTTTAGTATCAC